CATTATGCCCATATCGTGGCCTAAACCAATCATGAAGGTGCTGCTTAGAGTAGCTGAACACGCCGCTGAAGCATCGCAGCACTGACTCCGCGCTGCTGCTGTTCGATCGATTTGTGTGTCACGCGCATCTCTGCATAGATGCGCAGAAAGGGGAAATAACGTAGAGAATTCCCAAGATAATCCAATAGTGCACGGCGACACCTGCACATTCCACCAATGTGCTAATGTTCCGCCAAAAAAAATCCTAGGTTGGTACGACCAGCCGCAACTCTGAATGTCTCTGTGTGGTCAACAACAGACACACATTATGCCCATATCTTGGTCTAAACCAATCAGAGATAATCAAGGGCAGAACCTCTCAGATGCCCATGCCCAAGGTAAGATGTTCAGATACTGAGATGTTCAGTTCGAAGCCTTTGAGGCACTTTTAATTTTGACTTTCTTTTTATTTTATACATCTTGAGATATTTTGAGTTTAAATTTCAGCTCAGTGAAACACTTTAAGCACAAGAACTTTTTCAGTACCGTATTTTTCGGACTATGAGTCGCACTTAAAATCCTTTCATTTCCTCAAAAGTGTACCTTATTGTTGGAGCATTACGGCTAGCGGACCTAAGAAAAAAAAGTTAGGCGCACCAGTAAGGAGTGGCTTCAGGACCACTCTAAATACCCCCGGGTCGCCCAGCCAGAACCCAAACTTGACCCAGACTGAACATCTCTGGAGAGATCTGAAAATGGACCTTTAGAGGTTCTGCCAAAAAGAATGGGAAAAACTTCACAAAAAAACTTGTAGCATCCCACTCAAAAAGACTTGATGCTGTAATTCAATAAAATATTGAGCAAAGGTCCATTTAATTTATTCCATTTTGGAATACGGCTGTAAACACGACAAAATGTGCTGCTTGATGTCACACAATAAGATTGAAAAAATATTCGCTTCCTTGGATTATTATTTTATTTTATCTTTTAAACCAGCTGCTTAAAGCCCTGCTTTTCCAACATGTAAGCGCATCATCCACTGTTTGCACTTCCTGTCATTATGAAGTGCAGCTAGCTGAATGCAGCTTGTAATGCTCAGCAGATTCATTTGTTTACATTTAGGCCACACATCACCAGCTGATAGTATCGCCTCCTTTGTAGCCTCGGTGTACGGTGTGTTTTTGCCCAACAAGTTTGTTGTTTCCAGTCTTCATCAGGAGTGGATTTCTTACATACTTTGCAAAATTCTGTGCTTTATCGGAAATTGCTGAAGTAGCTCCCTTTTTAGATACTAAAACGTCATCGCAGGGCAACACACAACTCTTGCTATCAGACACGCCTGAGCTTTTTTCATTGTTGTGCAATACTGTAAATTTAGGCAGTTATCTGATACAATGGCTAGTACTGCCTATACCAATACTTATATCTTATAAAGTCAGCTTATGTAGGCGAGAGCAGTGTGTCATGATTTATGAGATGAATCATCAGTTTGCAAATTTTGAAAACATTTTCATGACAACTAAATCAGTTTTTTACTTTCCACAATTTGAGGTATATATTTTCATTAAATAATAATAATAATAATAATAATAATAATAATAATAATAATAATAATAATGATAATTTGTTAACACAATTCAGTGGACTACATACTAAAGGTAGAGGATAGAAACAAAGTATTGATCTTATCGTGCCGATATTAATTTGATAATATCAATATTTGGCTCTATCTACCTACCTACAGTGCATACTGGGATATATAAACACATGATGATGTGAGCTTTATATCACGTAAAGATGTATTAATGATACGGTACAAAGCCCTTAACCCTTTAGAGCCGATCGGAGCGGGAACGCTCTGTTATGCGTAACTATTTTTAAATCCCAGTAGCACTGCAACCACGTAAGCTAGCGCAAAAATTTTTTTTGCATATGAAACCGGAGGAGTTGTACTTACATCTGATGCCATCAGCTTGTCCTCGGTCACGGTTTCCTTCCACATAAAGCTTTGCAAAAACTGCATAAAAAGCGCTTGCAGGAACAAAAACATAATATTCCAGAAACACGCTTTACCGATCTGATCAGCTGTTCAAAACACTTCCTACGTTGGAATAGACGTCAGCGCGAACTTTTGCATTTCCGCCATTACCTGCCCGAAACCGGAAGTGACGTCATTTTCGCGGAAATGTAGTCTTTTTTGCGATCAGGGCCTCAGGGCCTATACTGCTCTTTTTAAAAGTTATCTTTGACTTTATGACTTTCTGTGTCGTTTCTGGGATTCTTAGGACTCATATTGCACTGCTGGAAATAGTTTATTTTGATGCATATGCTGCTTTTTTGCAAATTTGCACTATGATATGTATTTTCATTTTTCCTGCAGTGTATAAAAATTGGTGTATTTCAAAAATAAAACTATGAAGACACTCAAAATAAATTTCCTGTGGTGGGAAACTATTTTGTGCAACTTTTTTGTATTTACAGTTTTGAGGGATAAGACTCTTAAATTTCTCTAACTACAAATATATGTTAAAAAATCAAAAACGATTTTCAATTTTTTTGTAGTTTATTGCACTTTTTTGCAATTTATGTAATTACTATGCACTTAATGAATACATATTATTAAAATCTGGGCTATAATGGTTGTATTGATGTATAGCAACTTGAAATGCTCCCAAAAATGGCTCCACAGCATGTAAAAATATAATATAAGCTCTGGCGGACTTGGTTCTATGGTAGGTCTTAAAGGGTTAAAAAGCACGTTAACATACCCAGGATATTTTTTCTTCTGATTCAACCATGAAAAGTGCTTTACAAACCCAAACATGGCCGCTAACAGCTGCATTTTTCAGTTTGAGTGCAGCTAGCCAAACAATACAGAGTGAAAGTGGACAGTATATCTTTGGTTATTTAACATAAAACTCATTGTTGCAGCCAGGTGCAGATCAAAAATGGTCTTATTGTCCTTATTTTCCTCTGAGTTACCGATTCTGTCACTAGTTAGCCAACATAAACTAAGTCTATTAGTCACAACCAACCACATGACGTAGTTCAATATTGACAGAAATGGCGATAAACATGTTTTTAAAACTTAAACTTTAAGTATTTATTTCTTAAATCCAGCTTCACAGTGTTACATCTATGTCAGTGTTCAAGAGCAGGGCTCCATGATCTAAATTTGCCTTTATATGATTAATGTTTCACGTCCTCTTTAAAACCTAAATAAATAATAATCACATCCTGCACAGACATCCATCCGGTTGTCAAGTGATGACGTATGAACCCTGCTTCCAGGCCCAAACTACTCTGTTTTTATTAAGGCTGTTGTGTTTTTAACATATTTTAATGCTTTGTATCTTGTTCTACTTAATCTGAACAAGCCCTTAAAAAGTCAGTGATTACTGTCTGCCTCTCTGGGCTTTTAATACCACTAATTATCTGCAGCACGTAACTACAGCCCAGTCCTTCAAATTCTCAAATCTTCACTTTTAAAACCAGCAAAAATTGTCTTCAGCTCTAAGCTTTATGTACACAAAAACTTTGAAAGATTAACCTTTCAGTGAACTTAAACTTGCGGGTAAATTTGTGACTTCTATCATTTAATCCAATTTCAAATGCTTCAATTTTACTCAGATAATAAACTTAATATGCCACTTCTATAATTTTCCTGCTACACCTGAACTCTTTCAGATCTTAATATGATCTAAATATGGCCACTTCTGGCTTCAAAACCCCCAAAATGGTAGCCAATAAAACGCTAGACCTGAGGCTGCGAATACCAAAACAAATGGTGTAATGACGTTGCAATGGCTACTTCCATCTTTCGTATACAGTCTATACTTCCAACTAGAACTGTTAAGCTTTGTTAAGCAGATTTAGATTTTTCCTTTTCTGATTATGTTTGGTTTGTCTAAAATTCTTAGTTCAAACTTACATCTAAAGTTTTAATGGTTTCAGACCTGCATAAACACGTCTATCAGAAATATTTTTCAGAGGCATTATTTAAAAACCACACATACATTGTTTTTATTTTTACTGTTACAAGTTATATGCTTACATATACAACTAGCTTCTTAATGCTCTGTATTTTTTTTGTTTTCTTTTTTTAATCAGCCAAGGTTTAAAAACTTTTATGACTAGCCTACATTTCAGCGGACACCAAGATTTATCAGCAATTGTAATTTAGCTGACACTTGAGGTTTTTCAGTTGTATATGATTAAATTTATGGATTTCAGATACATTTCTTATTAAAATTTACTTATTTTTATTTTATGTTATTTTGGTCGACACGTCCTAATTTTAATATATGTGCAGCTGGCAGAGCTCTACGTATCACTCCGCCAAAGGAAAAACGTTCCATTCCTGTGCGTTTTATTGGTTCGACGTTGTATATGAATATCACTCCGCGTATGGAATAACCCTATTTTTGTACGTTTTTAACGGTTATGGATTAATGTCACTGCGTAGCTAGTGACTTGACACCCCAAAAGGAAAGTTCAGAGAATACTCTTAATTTCATAGGATAGTTACACATGATAATTATAAACTCTCGAACTAAACTCCGACTACATTCTAATGTGAATGTGAGGTATGACAAGGTAACTTTAATTCAGTGCGTATGTTATTGAAGAACCTGTCATAGTGAATCTGCTTTCACCGAAAGGAACAGAAACAGGTGTAAAGCCAGGAGAGTCGAGAGAGAAGGGAGCGCCAACAGGTGACTGAACACGTATCCCAACCTTGTTTATAAAGTTTATGACTCCTGTTTTTCCCACTACTTGGGATACGGAGCTGAAGTTATGCTAATTTAGCGACCAAATTCAAGACAGTCAAGTCGAGTCAGTTTTCCTGCTCACGTCTTCTTAAAACTTTCTGCGTTCGCGACGCAGCGTTGCGTTTTACGGGGTTAGTAAGCTAATTTATCTTGCTAACGCAATCCCTTCATGCTTGTTAACTACTTCTATCCACTTGATGCTCATATGCTAAACAATAATAGTTAACTCCGAGAACGGTTTCATCTTACCTGCTATTGAAATGAAGCCGAAAGAACGAGAAGACAGGTTTTCTGTTATTTCCAGGTAAAGGTAAGCGAGATCAATCTTATCTGTCAGCAGCGCCCGCTAAAAACAACAAACAGAGAGGATGTCTCCGAAGGAACAAGTGCACAAATAAGAAGGAAAAAAATGGAGCTGATGAGGGAGGGAGGGAGTGTTTTAAAACAAATCCCAGCCTCTTTTGTGTAAACCCTCCTTCCTCCTCTAAGCATTGTGGGAATGTGCTGCTTCAGTAATACCTGATCTTCATACAGCAACTACCTCTTCTCTCAATCCTTAAATTAATACAGACAGCTGGCATCTGCTGCAGTTCACCTTCCCAGTAAGAAACTCTGGTAGCCATTTTTAGTGAAAAACAACTGCTGTGAATAGTTACATGCTTTTATTTTGGCAAAAACAAGCACTTGTCCTTTGTGTAGGTTCAATCAGGTGTTGCAGGTAGGAGCTCAGCTAGCATAAATGAGACAGCATTTCTTTAATTTATTTTGCTTGCTAAAGCAACTGTCTTGAGGGTGTGTGTCTGTGGGTTTTTGGTAAGCTAATACTAACAAGTTATACTACACTCAGTGTCTAGAAGGTATTTTGGACAGAGGACAAGGAGATTTGGTGGTAGAACAAGGAAATTCAGTAAAGTTTTCAAAGGAAGAGCTCAGCAAAGACAAAATGAGATGAAGGGAGTAGACAGGGGTGGTGGCAAAGGAAAAGGCATATAATGAGTTTCATGTGAGCCTGGACACTAAGGAAGGAGAAAAGGCAGAGATCGAGCTGAAAGGATGTGCAGCTGGTTAGGATGATTGGATGGAGATGGAAGTGTACTAAGGAGTGAAGAGAGTGTGCTGAGAAGATGGAAGGAGCACTTCGAGAAGCTGATGAATGATAAAAATGAGAGAGGAGGAGAGAAGGAAGAAAGTTAGTGATGTGCAAAGAATTAGTATAGAGGAAGCAAGCGCTACAGTGGTTATGGACAGACTGACAGATGAGGTCAGACAGGAGTCTCCTAGGAATTACCTATGATGTTTGCAGATGAGTGATCTGTGGTGAGAGTAGGGAGCAGGTGGACGAGAGCCTGGAAAGGTGGAGATATTCTCTGGAGAGAAGAATGAAAGACAGTAGAAGCAAGACACAATACATATGTGAAGGAGACAGGAGTAACAGTGAAGCTGCAAGGAGGAGAAATAGTGAAGGCAGATAAGTTTAAATTTGGGGTTGACCATCCAAAGCAACAAACCGTGTACAAGAGAGTGCAGGCTGGGTGGAGATGGTGGAGATAACAACAAAAGTAAAACTAAGGTTTATGAGATGATAGTGAGACCTGCTATGATTTATGGTTTGGAGACGATGGCACTGACAGAGAACCAGGATGCCAAACTGGAGTTGGTAAAATTGGAGATTTTCATTGGGAGTCACCACGATAGTCAGGATTAATAATGAGTACATAAGAGAGGCAGCTCAGGTTGAGCGGTTTGGAGACAAAAAGGTATGTAGAGGTACATGACAGAGGAGGGATAGTGAATTTATTAGACAAAGGATGTTGTAGATGGAGCTCCCAGGAAGAAGGAAAAGAGGAAGACCACGGAGAAGATGGGTCTAGTGATGGAGAACATTCAGAGGGTTGGTGTAACAGAGGAGGATGCTAGGGACAAGATGAGGTGGAGGTAGATAATCTGCTGTGTGTATAGGGAGCAGCTGGAAGAAGAAGAAGATTGTACCACACTCAGAGGCAACTGTGGTATTGTAGCTGGATTTAGTATTATGTATTATGTTTTGTGGAAGTGTTTACATCAGGGTGTGGTGTTGGCAGGTTAACCTGCATCTGAAGACCTGTATATTATTTCCCTTTATGATAAAGGACTTGATCATGTGACCAATCTCTAACAGAAGTGTTAATCCATGATGGACTGAGCATTTCTTCTCCACTTGTTCCATATGTCCCTACTACATATTACTAACTTTTGTCTACTCTGTCTCACATTGATTGATTGTAGGTATTCTTGTTCTAATACTGCAGGATCTGTAATTAAAATATAAAGGTCCTTGAGGTGGCTATCATCATCAGTTGGTACTATTAATAAAATTGAGTTGCAATGGGTTGGGGTTTGTTGTTGTTGTTGTTGTTGTTGTTGTTGTTTTCAAGCAAACTACAGGATAAAAAATATCTGTCCTGTGCTGTCAGGCTATTGGTGAGGGCTGGGTATGAATGTGCCCAAGTTAATTTACTGTATGTCTCTCCCCTACTCTTCCCCCAAGCTTTTCTGACTTCTTTTGAGTGTATCAAATAAAGGCTAAAAAGCCCAAAAGAAAGGAAAAACATTCAGTCATTTTATAGTGGAAGAAAAAAATGTGCCTTTTAGTCAGACTTTTGAGTGTCAAGACTTTAATTCGATGTTGACAATTGGGCCTTGAAGTATTAAGGAAAATCAAAATTAAAGGCTTGTTTTGCAAAATATCATCACTATACTTTTAAGAACCTGCCTTTGGTATAAACACTGACAGCTTGGGTCTTGAAAGAAAATAATTAAGCTAAACCTTAAAAGTTAACCTGCACAGAGATGTAGTCAACGGGTTCATACTTCAGTTTATAGTGTATTTAGTGACCGCTGTTGGTCCAAAAGAATAGAAAGAAACAATACAAGAGAAGTCCCCTGGATGCTCAAATTGAGTTCCTGGATCCAGAAGCATATCTGTATCAGGATCAGTTTGTAATATTTTCTTGCTGTCTCTCATTTTTCCCAGTGTATTTTTAACATTGGTCTGTTTTATGTTGATAAAGTTCTTCCAAAACTTTTGAATCCACACCAACTCCACAAGTTAATCACTATGCTGGGCCAAGCCCTGTGTTAGTAAACTTTTCATACAAATCCACCAATTCATGATAATAATAATAATAATTTTTTAGATGATCAGATGTGAGGCCACTGTGTTAACCTCTGCGCCACTGTGTCGTCCCAATGATGATAACATAGCAGCGGCAGAAAGTTGAGGTTTTGAACATCCTTGAACTGCACTGAGCAAGTGAAATCAGAGTTCTAAGAATTCCCCAACACATTGCTCTGCTGCTCCTATCATCTTGTATCCCAGAAGATTTGGTCCAGAGTTTAGTTTCATCTTTTCTTCTTGGTTTTTATTTTATTTTCAGTTCAGGTTACCTAAACTTAGTTTCCAGAGTGAATCTTTTAGTTAATTTTTTTTTAATAGTTTTAGTCCAAACATATATTTTAGCTTAACTGGTGATTCTGAATTGGACATAGAGACAGACATCATTCACATCTATTTGTCAACACTTTCATGGGCCATCAACCTATCCAGGGTGGACCCTGCCTCTCTCTCTGTGGGACCTGAGATGGACTCCCAAATGGTTAAATAAAAATGGATGATTGGATGGGAAAATCCTAACTCTAATGATTTTTATAATCAGCTAGTATATTATTAGAAGGTGTTAAAGTTTCTCAGAGTTATACTTTTTAGTACCAAATTTCCTATTTCTTATTCTGTCACAATCCAGTGAAGCATAATGAGGAAAACTCTAAAATAACAAATTTTGAATGTCTGTGTAAATTCTCAGTCATCCAGGTTATGTAGCCTAAGGAGCTTAGAAAGATAGTGACTGGTTTCTTCTTCTACCTAAGTTTCTAGAAGACGTTTCACTTCTTACCTGGGCAGCTTCTTCAGCGGCTTCTTTAGTTCTAAAAGAAAAAAAAAAGAGAATCCCAACTATTTAATCTCTAGTGAGAGTTGTCCTTTGAAGAGGGTTGTTGACCCACATGTGCCTCACCACAACCAAGGTGTGAAATGTCTTCAAGAAAGTCCACACACCTTCTTTCTAAGCTCTTTGGACTACAATGACCTGGATGACTGAGAACTTACACAGAAATATTGCCTCGTACTTTGGGAGGAAAAAACTGCAACTGTTGCTTTAATATGAAAGGGAATCAAGAAAACCAACGGACTATAGAAACTACCTCCACTTTAACCTAAGATGCAGACAAAGCCGACTTGTTCCCAAGAGTTTGTGCCTTGGATCCACAGTCGGGACATAGAGCTGAGCTGATTTTATGGAGAGCAACAAGACTTAGCTGCATCATCTAAAGGATAAAGGTCACACTTTTAAGGATGCTGATGTTCACACTTTGGACAGAGAAGACAGATGGTTTGAAAGAGAAGCGAAAGGGGCCATCTGTGTCCACTGAATGAAAAATCTTTGAACAGACTTTGCAACACCAACTGTCTGCCACCTATAATGCAGTTTTGAGATCCCTCACCTGAAACTTCTGTTGATAATGACCGACGCCTTTTTTCACACCGTGGCTCATGTGGTGAGCCAGATGATCAATAGTGACAACTCTTAAGGGACAACTCCCACCAGGGATTAAATACTTGGGACTCTCCACATTTTGGTTTTAAAACTGAAGAAGCTTCATGGATGAGAGGTGAAACGTTTTCAAGAAACTTAAAGAAGTCCAGTTGCTTTCTTTCTAAGCTCCTTAAACTAACTTTGAATGATTTCCATCAGTTTCAGAATGCTAAGGTATCATAAGAGAAAAATCAGTTTGGGTTTTGTCCAGCAGCACTACCTCAGGAAATTATCATAGTAGCTTCAGAGGGATTTGAGTGTATAAGCAAGCAAGACTTAAATGTGACTCTCTTCATTTCCATTTAGAAGCTGTTTTAAGGGATATATTCTGAGTGAGTGAGACACCACAGAGTTACAGATTGTTTCACTAGTGCATGTAACCTCAGCTTAGCTGTTAAACTTTTAAAACAGTACACACTGAAAGCTAATTTAGTCACATCATGCACTGCATCTGAAATGTTTGTATATGTAATGCTGTGGAGAATCCTGTGACATATATACAGTGATATGCACTAGGGGGCGCCATTTCACTATCAACTGTGTGGAAGTTCAGCTTAATTGATCCTATCCTGCAGGCCCAGATATAACAAAACAAACAACAATATCCAGTAAACAACAAAACACAATTCAGTCTCAAGTACAGTTTTACATTATTTAGCAGATCGATCCATCCATTCATCCAACTCAGGGTCACAGCATAAGCTGTGAGAGGCAGGGTGCACTCTGGACAGGTTGCCAATATGCCACAGGCCTAACAGAATCACCATACAACCTAATTCGATGTCTGAGGACTGTGTGAGAGGAAGCTGAAGTACCTGGAGAGAACCCACGCAGACATGGAGTAGAAGT